CTATTATTATATATATTTGCTTATATTAAATTCCAACTGTAACCCAAACCATGGTCTACTATTGAGTTGGGAAAGGATAGAACCTTTGTCAGTTTTTAACTGCAGGTTTGTGTCCCCATTGGGGATATTTCCCTTTACGTCTTGTCACAACACAAAGTGATGGGAAGTATCTTCAGTGAGGTATACAGACTGCAACAAAGCACCCTTTTCAGTAAAGTGGGATGGGTTAGAAGATCTGTCAGGTTGTTATTACTGTCTTTGTGCCATTGAAAGAGTCTCCACTCATTTCTTGATCTTTTATCAAAGGCTGTAAATAAGGAAGGAAAGTGAGATGAAATCTCCCAGCAGTGTTCAAAAATTAAGGGAGCATGGGACCCTAGGGAAAGAATTATAGCTTTGGCCAAACTCTCCCTTCGTTCGACATTTACACCCCGGTCACGTCGGGTGCCATTTGGCATGCAATTTGCATGCCATGCGACTTGCAAATTGTATGCCAAGTCGCACCCTATTGTCCGCTATTAGAGTGGTTAGATCAGTGCAGTTCCGACTTGGTCGGAGCCACACCAATTTCTAAAGTAGTGCATGCACTATTTTTGCTGTGATATTCATAGACATCTGTGTCAGATGTCTTGCAAATCGCAAATAAAATCGGCATGTCACCCGATTTTGAAATTGTGCGACTTCACAGTAAGTCGCACGATTTCAAAATCAGCTTTGATGTGACCGGGGGCTAATAAGGCTTGCAACAGGCACAGAAAAGCTACTTAATTATATTATCTATCTGGCATGGCCCGATCACACCAGAACTGCCTAAATTGTATATCCTCCCATATGAAGTCACAGGCAAGTACATAGCTTTGACTACTAATCTTATCCTCCTGTTTTACCTCAGGAGAATGAAGGACGTAGCGGGGCCCCCTGGGCATCAATGGGGCCCAAACTTCTATGTGTGTGGTCTTATGGATCTTTAATTTCTACAAGGTCACAGACAACAGTGACAGCTTTACAGAAGTATTTATACTTCACTAGTCCAGACTGGATTTTATATACTAGTGCAATTTCAGATGCAATGTAAGCCACATAGAATCTCATGAAAATGGAACTCAAATTGTTTTCAATGAAGCCCATTTACATCAATACAACTCAGCATGGCATGATTTTGGAAAAGGTTCCTGTACTACTTTGGTGTGATTCCAGCACAATTTTGGACCCATAGTATATGCAAACCACTACAAAGTAGCATCCAAGTTGCATCAAATTTGCACTACATAATCGCAATTAAGGTCAGATCAAAATTGGATCACAGCAGTGTGAGCCTAGTCTTAGGCTTAAGTGGAGCAACATGGTCATCATAGTGGGATACTTGTTATTTCAGACTCACTTTGGTTTATGTAAAGACATAGATACACCAGTCAACTTGTCCTCTTTTGTTAGTAATTAGAAATCCTGATATTAGAAAGTATTAAAATTAAAAAGTTTCAATCTGATTGGTGAACAAGTGGCCAGAGAGGACATTACAGAGTTTATATTTAATGCAGCAAACCTGCCTCCATACTAGGAGCATTGCTGAAATCTGGTTGCAGTGGATTATAGAGATTAATGTTAACCTGATCTGGCTAAAATGTTTCAAAGAGAAACAGAGATAAAGCTCCTGCAAGTGACTACTGTACTTCTCTTTAGATCATCCATGAGCTTCTCTAGACTAGAGCCTACTTTAGCTTAGGCTATGTTCAGTTTCAAATTTTGATGTGATGAAAAAGACCAAAAAGCCATTAACAAGAATTGCTTCTTTTTTTTTCCATCCATCTATACATGAATGATAATATTATCATTCATTTATTTCCATTTTTCTATAAAATATGCATTCTCCTTCAATCTTCCTAAAATAGTGCCTCAATAAAGGCAATAAATCAGATTGCAGCAATGTTTTATAATTAAGCAGGAATAGAGGTGCAGTCTGGGAGAATGGTGGAATGATTCATTACCAATAAAGTAAACCTACAACTTGGCTAAATGGTCTAATGAGTAGAGCCCTTGTCAATAACTCTAATGGCCTTTGTGGTGTAACTTTATGTGGGCAGCTATTTCCCAGTAATAATTATTATACCTAATCAGAATGTGTTTATATTATAGTGTATATGTATTAAGCATGCTGAGAATTTATATACAGTGTAGGTGTGAGGCTAGAGTATCAGCACTGATAATATTATATTATATTTATAAAACGAATATAAAGGAAAAATGTCCTTATTCTCTGTATCAATAAATCTAATGTTTGCCAGATGCTGTTCCCTAAAATAACTGCTAGAATATGATTTGGTTGTCATGGTTTAATCAAAAGATTAAAATAAACAGTAGCTTAGAAAACATAAGATTGTGTACAACTCTAACACAAGTGTGTAAAACTACAGTGGTTTAGTCTGAAACATATGGGCCCCAGTGCAAGCAATACCTAGGACCCCAGAGCTTTAATCCCCTACCCATTGCTCGATACTTAAATCCCAACTCCTTGTCCATTTCTAACATCCACCAATAAAGCCAAAATGCTCACCCTGTTACCTCCTGTACCTAAAACCCCAACCTTTCTCTCTAACTAACTCCCCATGCATGAAGAGTATAAATGGAGAGCCGGCAACTCATTCTTCTGAATATTGTATTTTATTGATACAGGTGGAGTGTACAAAGTATAGTGACTAACTCTGCCAATCCCTCCAGTGGCTTCTGATTGCCCAACGGATAAAATTCAAATGACTAACATTGACATACAAAGCTGTTCATAACACTGCCCCAAACTACATTACCGACCTGATATCCATCTACCACCCAAAATGCACTCTCCGCTCCTCACAAGACCTCCTACTCTTTAGTTCCCTGGTCTCCTCCTCCCATGCCCGCCTCCAGGACTTCTCCAGGGCTTCCCCCATCCTCGGGAACTCACTACCCCAATCCATCAGACTGTCACCTACCCTCCTCACCTTTAGGCGCACTCTGAAAACCCATCTCTTCAGGGAAGCCTACCCCGCCCTCACTTAATTGACGATCTCCTCCACTCTTCCTACCACACAGCTATTTCCTCCTGTACCACTATCCCCTCCCTCCTAGATTGAAAGCTCCAAGGAGCAGGGCCCTCGAACCCCTCGTGTATTGTATTGTATTTTTTCTGTGCTGTCTCGTGTACTGTCTCCCATTATATTGTACAATGCTGAGCAAACTTTTGGCGCTATATAAATACTGTATAATAATAATAATAATAACTTGTTTCTAATCCACGGCTATGATTAAGGCTAACAGCCAAAATGTGTAAGCCGCTGTACTTTGTACACTCCACCTGTAACAATAAAATACATTATTCGGATGAACGAGTTGTCGGTTCTCTATTTAATTTCCTCATGCTGTGCTTGGGTGTTAGGAAGACACCATAAGCTTGTGCACCATCTGCTTGCCTACTTGGGGAACATCTGTATGTTGTCTTCCTTTTCACATAACTCCCCGTGTACCATATCATACGTTTGCTTAAAATGATAGTGACAGAAATAACTTTGTGGTTGGATATGGTCAAGAACACCCTATAGACCACAGAAGTTTGGTTGCATCCACAACCTCTACTACCCTCTATACCTACTCCACTGTATCACAGAGGTTATATGGGATGACGAGCATTGCAAAAAATATTCATTAGTACCGTTAGGATAGTTCCTCTTTACAGAATGTCATTGGTGATAAAGGGTATCTCAGAGATTATACTTCATAAAACTGAAGTGGCAATTATTCTTTGATAAAATGGAGAAAATTTAACTTTTTCTTTGGACTGGTGAGAAGTGAACAGAAGGTGAAATGAGATCTAAAAGAGAATAAAGGAAGTCAGTAGAAAGTGAAACAGCTAGAAAAAAAGAAAAACATTACACGATAAAGGACATGAAGATGTCTATGTCACATAGTTTTCAGTTTTGGTGGAATAGATGGTAAAAGTGAAATGTTGAAAATAATTCAGGTAAAATACAAATTATTTATGCAGTACTAGCCCAGCCCATCCCAACCCAAATCTGCCCTCAAGTCCCATCAATAGGTTATGTTTTGTGAATATTGCACAGGTAGTTTAAGTGGTTCTAAAGCCTTAAAGTGGTAGTAAAGTCTGATTTTTTATTTATATCTTTAGATAACACTATATTGAGGCTTACTCGTAGATACAGTAAATATCTTCTAAATGTGAACCGTTTTGAAGATATTTACTTTTAGTAGCAGCCAGTAACATCATTGCACTCTCAATGGACAGCTTGCCGTCTATTAAGAGAGCTGCACTGGGGCCATGATAGATGGAGATGGAAGCCCTGTCAAAGGTGAGAGCGCACTGCTGGAGGGCTTTGTTATAAGGTAAGTCTGTCATAATGTGCTAGTATGCAATGCATACTAGCACATTATGATATTATTCTGCAGTATCCAGGATAACTACCTCTTTAAGGATTTTCACCTTAACCTCCCTGGCGGTATGATTATTTCAGATTTTTTGTTCTGAAAGCGGTACCATTATTTTGCATGGAAATTTGGCGTTTTATATTGTAGGCCTGTAATTCTTAGGAATAACTCACTGAAATCTGTCCGAACAAAAGTCTAGTAAACATCCCGGGTAGGATAAAACTTGAAACATGAAATCATAAATTATAATTTAATAAATAATCATAAAAAATAATAATATTATAATAAATTTAATTCAATAATATAATCAAACCCAAAACACTGAAATTTGAAATATAGCGCCAAGTTCGCACATCACTGAGCAAAGTCGCAAAATCGTTTTCAGTGTCTGATGATGAATTTCCCCACAAATCATTATCACTCAATTCTGCAAGTGGTTCTGATTTACTATCGCTGTTCTCTAGCTGGTCTAAAACTGCTTTTGACCTAAAGGGACGCTTTTTGGACGCCATGGACATTTCTCAATTTCCAGGCAGAAAGAACAGTAAAAATGAAGGCAGAGCACAGGACAAAGCACTCGGGACAAAATATATGTGAAATGGTTTGGTACAGTAATGTTTTACTATGTGGTTTTAGTGATTTTTGTGAATGTCACTTTTTGTCATTTTCAAATTTCCCGCCGTTCTGTCCCCTGTACGTCCCGACGCTCGCAGAGGACGGAACCCAGATGACAGATGCTGGCATCCGCCGGATTACATTGCCGGGGACACTGCAGGAGGGACATCGCAGGAGCGCAGGACAAGGTAAGAGAAGAACAGATCCCGGAGCAGCGCCGCATGGTAAGCCCGAGTGTAGCTTGGGGTTACCGCTTGTGGTACTGAAACTGTACCCCGAGCTACACTCAGGAATAACGCCAGGGAGGCTACAGTGAAACTTCACTCTCTCAATCAACATTGACTATTTATAATCCTTATGCTGCTAGCATTAGTAAATACATAGAAAAGTATATCACATTTACTTTTTTATTTTTTTTTTTACATTTCTTCAATTACTTCCTGGTTTCAGTACCTAGGCAAATGATGTCACACATCCCAGGAATCTTTAAGAGGGAAGGGTTCTCAACTTAGCAAATGCCTCAGCAAAGGACAGATGGATTCCAGGAAGAAAATGATACATGAATCATCCGCCCCTACTCAAGATGTCCACTGCCAGAAATACCAGGGGGTGTTTTTAAAAATGAATTCTCAGCAAAATAAAGCAGGGAGACATGGATGGGTGGGTGAGTTTGCTTTGAATATTAACAATGAATTAATTAGCATTTTTGGTTTGTGGTGCTCAGATGCAGTCCAGTTCCACTTTAATACATTCTCTGCATTAAGGCAAAAAACTTCTGTGATTAGGATCCCCATCAGCACCCCCATATACTTCCCTGAGCCTGATCTCGATCCATTGCTGTGTCCAAGAACAGTGGCTCCTTACACTCTCTCACTCATCACAGGACAGAGGCAACAGTGGGAGCCATTGGCTTCTGTTGCTGTCAGTGAAATCCTATGACAAAGGAGCAGGTGGTGGGGATGAGCCTCCCTGCCCGTGTCTATGGACACAGGCAGTGTGGCTCAGGATCGAACCTAAATGAGTTCCACCATAGGAACAACTTCCTATGGGGGTACTCACTGATGAGGCAGAGCCAGGAAGGCTGGTTGGGGATCCTAGAAGAGGAGGATTCGGGGATGGTCTGTGTAAAACCATTACACAGAGCACGTAAGTATAACATCTTTATTATATATATATATATATATATGTGTATATATATATATATATATATATATATATATATAGAGAGAGAGAGAGAACCCCAAAGTTTTAGAAACACTTTAAATAGCATTGCTGAGATTAATATTTTTTTGCCAGTGGTCACCTGCAAAACAAGCAATGCTGGGGGGATTTAACTGCTTCCATATATATATACAGTATATATATATATATATATATATATATATATATATATATATATATATATATGCCCTCGAATGGGAAGGGTGATATCTCAGTCATTGCTGCGGCCAAATGAAAATGGCCAATGGCATTTTCTTTCACTATTTCACTTTACTTTGTTATGTTTTTTTTTCTGCTTACTTTATTATTTACATCCCCGACGAATTCTGATTTGGAGTGAAACATATAAGGTTTATGTTGCTGTTTTTGGAGCACATTTTTTATTTCAAGGGAACACATGGTTTTTCTTCCATTATCTTTTTTGGGGTAGAGCACTAAACACATGGGTGCGACTATGTTGATCCCTTAAGTTAGATAGGGATTTTTGTGGATATGTGGAATATGGGGCTCATCCATTAGTGATTTTGTTTATGGTCACATGGATGAGTGTACTCGCATTACATATCTGAGTGAGACAGGCTGTCTAGATATATTCTTTCAGGCAGGACCTTATGTTGAATGAGATTTATTAAAGATGGGCTACACTGGAGTTGTGCTGGGTAAAATATAGGCAGCTGGGACATATCTATATAGTACTGCTACATTGATAAGAGTGCCCGTTCTACATTAAATTTCTGTGAAGGAGGCTCATTATACCAATGAAAATAGAATAACTGGCAATTGCTGGATTATGTGGTTGGGACAGTATTGGTGAGATTAATATTATATTTCATCACCACCACATTAGTGTACCTTCCATTTACATTTCACTGCCTGCTATATGATTGAAGTTAATTTAGATATGTGTTGATTGGGACTATCCAAGTTATCCATATATGGGTCTGTTTGGACCATTCATTTTATTGCAGCATGTTGTCTTCTCCTTACCTTATGGGTATTAGTACTTACAGTCAAAGCATACTTTTTATATATTTTTTATATATTAATTACTAATAAAGTTACAATTAGTTACTAACTAAATTTATTTTATCCAGTTGGCCTTTTGTCCATAGAAACATGCACCCTCATTCAGTTAGAAATGTTCAAATCTGTCCTTACTCTGTTCCTTAAAAGTTAAGTAAAAGCTTGTTGTGTTAAAAGACAATGAATATACCACTCCGTTGAGTTGATAGATGTCTTCAGCAATGCAGCCTCCAAGAGATATTTAACATTCATCACACTTCCAGTGTGTTGATTGTGGGTTCCCTGCTTTGCTCAATGGTTCTTGACCTTGTAGTGACATAGGGCCCCCAGAGGGGACACAGTGCACTATGGGGGACTCAGGCCTTTGACACACCCAGAAGTGATAACTGCTAAAGACTTTGCCAGAGGCTATATTGAAGACAATGGGGTTCAAACTATCCACACACTATAGAGGTGAGTATTCAGAGCATTCAGAGGCACTGACCACTAACACCATTTTTTTTTTAGCTATCGGAACGGCAGGCTCTTCCTGTTGTCCACAAATGTAATTAGCGTTCTTCCCAGTGACCATCACACTATTCTACTGTAAGCTGTAGACATAATGATTATTAGAAAGGGTTCCCTGAGAACATAATGTTATTTCAAGTGTTCCTCCATTATAAAAAGGTGGAGAAAGGCTAGGTTAGAACCTGTCATTTTTTTTCTGTGTCCTATTAAGGAGATTTCCCTTTTCTTTACCACAGATGGGGCTGCCTTGTCCTTGTGCTAAAAGGGTCACATGTTCCTGCAATGCAATGTTTAAAGCCAACCTAAAAGCACATGAGGTTCATTGGTATATAGAAAATAGAATCTAAGTGCAACTTGCTATAAAATGTATTTCATGTAATCCATACTGCAAGAAATAAGGGTTTCATTCATGCAGTAAACTAGCAGCATTTTAGATGGTTGTTCTTTATATACTGTGCAGAAAATTGCAGCTTTTTTTCCAGATGACATTTCAGAAATTTGCTTCCCATGAGCACCACAACTGTGTTAATTTATATAGAACAGGTGTAGCACAGCATGTGGGTGAACAGACACCAACCTTGCAAAGGCTACCAAGAGTACAAATGATAATTCTATATTTGTACTGAATATCTAAGGTCCCTTTTGAGGCAAGATTCCGTAATGTGAAACAGATTAAAAAATCAAACAGGTCAGATTAGAACATCTGTTTCATGTGGAAAACATGGGAACCCTAACCTATCTCACTGCTTGAGTCTCTGACACAAATAAGAATCTTCTGGCTGATTAAACCTGAAACATCACAGTAGAAAGGAGTGAGCTTTGTGATCTCTCCTCAACTACCACTTTCAGATTCTTACTAGGTGCTACTTCTTACGGGTCATGCCATATCTCATCAGATGACACTTCTTATGGGTCATGTCATTTCTTATGAATTACAGCTACAAAGGGGACATGTGATCTATGAGCAGCTGCAATTTGTAACTCCACATATTACATCTTATTCACTCCCAGTTTTAATGGATCTTGTAATTCTTCTTTGCCACTTCTAATGGGTCATATGATATTTCATATATAGCTACTCATGCTTACATATTTCAAAATGGTTTGCTTCTTTTCATTACCATTAGCCCACCATAATACATTTGGTCATTAAAGTATAACTAACGGCAAAACTTGTGAGATTTTAATGCTATCTGTGTCCCCGTTAAGAAGATTCTCCCTATTTGGGTTGTCCCAAAAAAGTGAGAACCAGTTTACATATATGCAAATTAGATGTGTTTTCAGCCGCATCCAATTCGCATGACATGTGACATAACATTGCTTTCTATTGTGCCTGTTCACATACATTAGATTGCCAAAAGTATTGGGACACCCTTGCAAATAATTGGATTCAAGTTTTTTAATCACCTCCATGGCCACAGGTGTATAAAATCAAGGACCTAGGCATGCAGACTGCTTCTACAAACATTTGTAAAAGAATGGGTCACTCTCAGGAGCTCAGTGAATTCAAGCGTGGTACTGTGATAGGTTGCCACTTGTGCAATATGGCCATCCGTGAAATGTCCTTGCTACTAAATATTCCACTGTTTACTGTTAGCAGTGTTATGCCACAGTGGAAGCAACTGGGAACAACAGCAACTCAGCCACGAAGTGGAAGGCCATGTAAAATGACAGGGAGGGGTCAGTACATGCTGAAGCGCAAAGTGCGCAGAAGTCGCCAACTGTCTGCAGAGTCAATAGCTAAAGACCTCCAAACTTCATGTGGCCTTCAGATTAGCACAACAATAGTGCGTAGAAAGTTTCATGGAATGGGTTATCATGACCGAGCAGCTGCATCCAAGCCTTACATCACCAAGTGCAATGCAAAGCGTCGGATGCAGTAGTGTAAAGCACGCCACTAGACAGTTTGGCAGTTGCCAGGAGAATGATACTTGCCTGACTGCATTCTGCCAAATGTAAAGTTTGGTGCAGGGAGGATTATGTGTGGGATTGTTTTCTAGAGGTTGGACTTGGTCCCTTAGTTCTCTTGAGGTGTTAGCATACCAAGACATTTTGGACAATTTCATGCTCCCAACTTTGTGGGAACAGTTTGGGGATGGCCCCTTCCTGTTCCAACATGACTGCTCACCAGTGCACAAAGCAAGGTTCATAAAGACATGGATGAGCATGTATGGGGTGGAGGAACTTGTCTGGCCTGCTCAGAGTCCTGACCTCAACCCAATAGAACACCTTTGGGATGAATTAGAGCATTGACTGCGAGCCAGACCTTCTCGTCCGACATCAGTGCCTGACCTCACAAATGCGCTTCTGGAAGAATGGTCAAACATTCCCATAGACACACTCCTAAACCTTGTGGACAGCCTTCCCAGAAGAGTAGCTGCAAAGGTTCCTGCTGCTGTCTTAGCCAGTGAGTAGGGAAAGACCCGGGAGAGACGTGGTTCTCATGCACATTGCTGGATCAAGATTGGGATCAGGCAGGTATTCCGGGTGGGGGGTGCTGGTTTTTTACCTTCATGCATAGAATGTGTGAAGGTAAAAAACCTTGAACCTTTACAACACTTTAATACTAACAACCCCTAATTTTAAAGTGAAACTTTAATCAGAACATTCAATCCTGCTAGATCATTTCAGGCCTACCCCCTTTGCAGGTATAGCTATGCAAAACATTAAAAATAAGTGTCTATAGTGTTTAAAATCCAGTAATACACCATATCACCCTGTTCTGCACATGCTCAGTTGCTCATTATTTTTTGACACTGTTCCGTTAATCTGAGCCACTAGAGGCCAATCTGCTGGCTACCTAAAGATTTACTGCTGCTCAGGGACTCTGGGTTTCAGCACAATGGCAGCCTCCAGCAAGAAGAAACAGGAACAATGCTGGTGGCAATTTACAGCATACACTAATTTTGGTAGGAAAATTATTATTGTGGCAAGTATGTTCCTTGCTAAAGAACATTATTTATTATTTAAGTTGTTAGGGGGGAAAGTTCAATTTTAAAGCCCATCTCCA